CCAATGACACTGGATCTCGCTGGACTCACCCATGAACTTGGCATATGGCGTGTAGAGAGCTTGTAGTCCAGCCGGATCCAGGACCACCCAGGCCCTGATGGACCCACAGCCGGGAAAGCCCCGAATTAGTCTGTGCCGTCCTCCCTGCAGCCTCTGCTCTTTCCGTCAATATTCACAGCCACATCCTCAGGGACCTTCAGATGCAAGTCACCCCCGTCCTCTCTGCTCTGCACTTGCTGTGTCCTCAGAAGCCACAACACTCCTCTCCCCCCTCCACCTTCCTCACGGTCCTCCACGCGGGACTGAGCTGCAGGACGGGACAGGCGCCTGCACCCGGGCTGTCCTGTCGGTATAAGTAGCGATGAGGGGAGGACCCGGGGGACACACTCACCTCAGCCCGTCTCCTCAGCACCGGCGCCTCCATGGCACTCGGTGGGAGGAGCGGGGCGGGAGCAGAAGCCGCTGCAGGAATGGCGGTCCCTGTCCCGGCCCTGGGCGGGTCTGGTGGCGACTCCGAGCTTCAATCCCACGTGTGCACTGTGAGCACCACTGGAGGCTCCCACCATGGGCTGTGAGGCGGCGACGACCACTCTCCAGCCTTCTCCCCGGGACTCTGCAAACAAGTACCGCCGACCGCTTAAGACAAAATGGAGAAAAAACTACGGGTCCGGTACACCAGAACTTGAAAAACGGAAACGCCTTTTCTGAGCTTCCATTGGCTCAGCCTGGTGGCATTCCACGCCCGGCCTTCTGGGTAATGTAGTTCCTACGCTCCGTGGCCAGGCTCCTGTAGTTCCTCAGCAGACTACAGGACTGGTTTTAACCCGCACATAGCCCAAGAACACACTGGGAATACTCAGGGCCCTCCAGCGCATTCAGGGAAGGGGATTTCTAGAACAGGTTTGTTTCTGTGGGACCTGCCTGGCTTCCTTTAGCTGCTGGTTTTGCATATCTTTCTTCAGAATCTGCTCTTTTCTGAATGACAGGCAATGTGTGTTCTTTCAGGGCATTAGGCTTCTGTCCCCTCCAGGCTTAATGTAGCTTGCAGAGGTTGCTTAAGTGTCTAAAGCACCTATCCTCCCTCCATTTTACGAAGGTAATGTCTCAAAACAGACATCACTATTTAAGAGCATCTGCTTCTGCGGCCAAAGTGTCAGCTCTGCCAGGACTGCAGTGTGGATAAGATGGCCAAGAGACATTTGAAAAAATGCTCAAAGTCACTGATTCTCAGAGAGATGCAAATTAAAGCAACAATTAGATCCTACCTCACAACTGTCAGAAAGACTACCATCAACAAAGGACAAGTGCTGGCGAGGATATGGAAAAAAGGGAACCCTAGTACACTGCTGATAAAAATGCAGACTGGGACAGCTCCTCTTATTTACACAACTTCAGCTCAGCCCAAGGCCCCTCCATTTGTTGTCCCATAGTACCAGGCACTACTGAAAAGCAGAAGCCACCATTTCTTCCCTGCCCTGAACTGACTAGCAATACT